CACACACACACACACACACACACACACACACACACACACACACACACACACACACACAAATAGTATAATTGTTACCTCACCTTTGGGAACTGTATGGACAGCCATTCCATTAAACAACAGAAAAAAGTCAACAAATTAGCTGAAAGCTAAATAATAGCTAGGCTATATTTAATTTTTTTAGACCATATACCGTTATCCACTTAGCTTAATTAGCACATGTTAATGTAACATTCATCATGTAATTTAACAGAAAAAAAAACGTAAAACCACAAACCTGTCATGTAGTTTAAGTCACACATTTTGGCATTGGTGAAAAACTCCTGCACATCCATTTCTGAATGCTTTTATTCTCAATACACATGTGGGCCTCCTGTTTCCGGTTTGCTCCCCTTTCATTTCTGTTGGCTTAACAACACCCAAGGAGCAGTCCCTGCCTGGAGAGGAGAGAGGTAGAACTTCTTGTCTTTTTTTTTTTTTTTTTTTGGTATGTGATTACCCAGCGGAGAACCCCATGACTGAAGAGGAGGAGGAGGAGGAAGTTTAAGATACATTCCTTGCCTTCTTCTTGAAGGTGACCACATTTTGTGGAGCTGCCGACATGTTAATGCCTCACATGACACCCTGAAGTCATCAGCTGATGCTTTACAACTGGATGGTCAGATGACCTWACAGTGATGAGACACAGATAATAAACATATTACACACCTTTTCACATAATATTACGAGATCCTTAGCAAATCAGAGGATTGTGTTGTGGATGACTCTCAGCCACTACAACACCATTTTTCAGTTCAGCGTCTATACAATTGAGATAGTCCTTTTTTGTGTTTGATAATCTTGGCTAGCTGCAGCTGCCATGGGGAGGTTYCATAAAACTCGTGAGATATTTTGCTAACATACAGCCAGTTTTATTCAAAAATCTCTGTGCTCTATGTGTTGGTGATGACTCTCGGTTACTCCCACAATAAAATTTATCTCAGTATTACTAGTTGAGACACAACACACACACAGACAATCACAATATTGCTCAGCTTTAATGATGATCCTCGCACGCGAAGCGTAAGCGGGAGTCATATTGTTTTTGTACTGTTTATTTATTTGTTTATTTATTTTTTTGTTTATTTATTTATTTGTTTATTTATTTATTTATTTAGTTCAGTGATTTTTGGTCAACCGTAGCACAAAAACGGCTGCACYGATCAACATGAAATTTGGCAGGACTGTAGATGAGTCTGACCTACACTGCACCAGCCAACAGTTTTATGATAGACCCCATATTTTGAGGAGGGGGCTCCTTTCAAAGAGGGGGTGTCAGGACATACAAAAATGCTTATAACTCAGAAACTGTTAAACACAGAAGCTTCAGATTTCTTTTGTTGTTTAGCTCTGATGAAGCTCTATCCATCAGGCCCACAATCAATGCACCCCACCCCTCGATTTATCTGAAAAAGGGGTATAGTTATTGCTCAAAAACTGTTAAACATAGGAGCTTCAGATTTCTTTTGTTGTTTAGCTCTGGTGAAGGGCTATCCACCAGGCCCACCAATCAGTGCCCCCCTCACCCCCCAAAAAAGGACCCCCACCCAAACCAGTACAATTTTGGGATGCACCTACTAGCATGACATTTATTAGGAATAAAGACTTCTGAGTTCTGGTGCATTTGTGTGTGCGGAGTCATTATGTTACCGCTATGTGGTATCTAGTTTGATTAATGGTTAACTGTCTCTCCAACTCTCCATATTGTATTAAAACGTATAAGCGGGGGGGGGAAAAACAATACAAAACAAATAAAAACATAAAAATGTTTGTTGACAACTATCCATCTATTCTAATTAACAAGCTATAGCTAAAGATTGATTGATTACTTCCATTAGTTTAATTCTATTTAACAGGCTAACTAGCYAATGGTTAGGTAATTCCATTACTAACATAGAAGCAAACTAGCTAAATGTTATAGGAAATTCAATTTATTTTACTCTAATTAACAAGCTAACTAGCTAAAGTTTGGGGATCATTAGGAGGTGGTTGCACAGTTTTTAGACAAAACAGGTCCAGGTTGTAAAAGTTGGCAGGTATTCACTTTTCTCAGTGGTGAATTTTGGAGTTCCACCAGGCTGCTGTCTTCATGTTCAGTTGTGTGTATAAATATTTGTGTCTCTAAAATCAGAATTAAATCTAAACGCTGTGCCACAGTAAAATGACTCCTTATGCATGTTGATGATACAGCATACAAAGATCCTAATTTKACTTATTTCTTTATTTGGAAATTTGACCGTCCAGTGCTTTCAGCAAACATGATACAAACTGCTCAATTTGCTTGTAGAAAAAACAGACTAATCATATACCATAAAAGCACAATAACTATTTAAATTTGTCTCTGCTACTAAGAAATAAAAAATAACAATATTAATGAATGTAGTTCACTTTTCTATCAAATTACTTCAACATCTTGCCTGCAAACCCTCAGGTGGTCTCTCTTGGCCTCAGAACGTCAGGAACGTGGCGACATTACATATCCGACACATTAAATGGGGTTTTGCCAGATTTGCATAAAACCAGCAGCGCCCTCGCCTTGTTCTTCAGCATCTCTCTGCTGGAGCCATAATCGCCCACTCGCTAACAACAATTACTATAATGGACTGATTGTTGGATTATACCACCAAAGTGGTTTTAGCGCACACATCTGCATAATTGTTCTTAGCATTTAAGCGCTCATGGGCTCCTGGCTGCCATTAACGGGCAGAGGAGAGAGTGATGGAGGTTTGACGCTTGATGAACGGGGTGGGGGGGTTCGGCTCCAAAATGTGTGGGCGTTTTCATTGTTTGTACATGGAGTGGGTAGAAATGTGCTAAGGCATTGTCTTAGAAGAAATTGTTTCCTTTTTTGGGATTGGGTCTGTTGTTATGTGACGGGATGACTCATTGAAGGGGTCAAAGTCAAGACTCAGGGGCCAACATGAGATTTTGACTTAAAAAAAAAACTTCCATTTTGGGCTGCTTATCTCAATGAAACCTTTGCAACAGACGCCCAGAAAACAGTTTCACAACATCAGTGTTTAATATTGTTCAACCTTCGTGCACAAAGTAGAGAAGTGGCCCGCAAACTCGGATGTGAATCTTTGTTCCAATGCATCCTTTGTGCTGGTTTTTGTCAAAAAACGAGCATCACATGACTAACAGATGGACAGACACATCCGCTGAACATGAGGGAGTGGAGCAGCATGATCCAGATCAACAGCTGAACACAGCTTTCCTCCTCGCAGTCTGTAAACATGCAGAGTGTGTGTGTGTGTGTGTGTGTGTGTGTGGTGGGGGGAAAGGGGAACAGCAGTGAGGAAATCGTCTTCGTGCAAAAGGGAAAAGAAGTGCTAGTTTGTTAATCAAACTCGTAGGTGAGGGACGGAGCCAGCACATGAGGGGAAGTTGTTGACTGTGGTGACACCTGAAACCTGTGCTGTTAATTCTTCCTCCTCCTCCCTGCTGCTCATCTCCTGAAAGCGGGCCAACATCCCACTCGTGCAAAATAAAAAAAAAAGACATGCTCCCTCTTCCTCTGTCCTGTTCTCTGTGCTAATTACTCACTGTTACCATAGAAACGGGTAGCACCTTCATCTTTTTTTTGTGTGGCTCTGTGTGTGTGTGTGTGTGTGTGTTTCTTTTTCTTGGACAGCCCCGTCACAAACATGCCTCGCGTCGAAGAGTTGGACGGATTCTTGAGACAACAATATCGTTTTGGATCCGTTTGATTTGAATCGTTTACTAAACTGTCACCAGGACGTGGAGCACGACGACAATCCTATTTTAATCAGCGCAGCTTAAAGAAAAACTAACTCTTTCTCCCCCAAATAGTAGCTACCATAAAACTCACATAAAAGAAGCAGTTTTTGAATATGGGAGCCATTTTTGAGTTTTTCCTCACTTGTGCTTCTTTTATTTAAGCTATTTTGAATGATAAACATCATACCTGTTGTACAGTGGTGGGTATCACTAATCTAAAAATTTGTTCCACTACTAAAACACTAACTCAGATATTTAGGTCCCCTAATTCTAAAGCACTAATTCACTGAAAGTTTAAGCAAAAGCTGATTCTAAAGCACTAAAATAACCCAGTCAACCCATGAACATTCTTCAACAGAMAACGTGAGTCACATATTGTCATGATGCTCTGTTAAGCCTTATCATTGATGTTCCACAGCTGGATTTGGGTTCATCTATTGTCACCTGGTGGATCAGTGACATATGAACAACATGTGCATCAGCTTGAACCCTCAGCTATTAACATTAACGTTGATCAATAACATTTATAGACCTCAGTTAGTGCTTCTGAATTTAGCCTATAAATTTAGCAAGTGCTAATCCACTAATACATTTTAAAATTAGCAAAAGCCCTAAAGCACTAATCAGTAAGTTAGTTCCCCGATTAGTCATAGGCGTAATTTGCAAGGGGGGGGGG